AGTTGGGAAGAGTACGCGGGGCGTACTCCAAAATCATGCAAACCCTATTTTAAGGCTTTGGATCCTATTTAAGCTCCTTATCTCATAACCTAACCCTAATATATTCAGCCTCCATCCCTCTAAACCCTAGAAATCGACCCTTAGCCTCATTTGAGTGATTCTTGAGCTTGGTTTGTGCTTGTTGGGTGCCTTGAGAAGGAGAAGAAGAAGAGAATCATGTGGAGTTGTGGTTTGAGCTTCTAGATCCATGGGGATCTTTCCATTTGCAAGCATCTAAAGGTAAAAAGCTTTGACCTTGATGATATTTGTGTTTGGATCTATTTCTTGGTGTTCTTTGGCATTGTTAAGTCCTTTGATAAAAAGGTGAGCTTTTGATCTACTCCACAAGTAGTGGAGGTTAGATCTAAGTTCCACCAATGTCCTTTGTTCATAAAAATGGAAACTTTATGGAAGATTTGGTCTATGCATATATTAAGCTCTTATTTAGTCCCTTCTTTAAGTGTTGAGTCCCATTAAGTTGTGTTTGTGAGTAAAGTTGGAAACTTTACTGGTTAAGACCTTGGTTAGGGATCAGATCTAGGTGTTGGACATTTTGACTTAACCCATTAAGAGCAAAGCAAAGGTTTTTGGACTCCTGACTAGTACACTAGGCGTACGAGTAGGTACGCTCATCGTAATGCGAGGTTGTGCTTCAGGTGGTTATACGTTGCACTTTATGATCGAGTACGCGAGGCATACGTCTTCAGTACGTTGGGCGTACTCCCCAAAAGGGTGTTTTGGGCTTTTGAGGTTTGGGCCATTGTTGGGTTTTCATTGTTTGGGCCTTGTTGGGCCATTAGATCCTTTTTGGACTTCTGGTTGGTACCTTTTGGGCTCCTTTGGATGTTAGGCCCTTAAAGAGGTTTTGGGGGCCCAGTTTGGGAAATTGGGCCATAATTGGGCCTTGGATGTTTATATAGAAGTTAGGCCTTTTGGATTATTGGTTTGGGCTTGGGCCTTAGGAAAAGCATAGGTAAAGGTAAAAAGGTCTTTTACCCTAGATTGGACTCTTAGGGTAAGTCGTGACCCAGTTATTAATTTGATGTTTTGGGCAATTGATAGCGCGGGATTGTTAGCAGGTCTGCAGTCAGAGGGTATCCGTGGGTCTCAGCTAATCGAGGTGAGTCTTCTCACTATATCCATTGGTCGAAGGCACCAATGCCAATCCATTACGTGTTATGTGGAATGCTAGTTGTCTCTGTGATACTTGCATGGAAGACCATGGGGGAGCCCATGAAATTTCATGTAAAGACCATGAGTGTAACACCCTTATTTCCTGGATGTGGAACTTGAGAATTTTATTCACATTAGAAGACCGACTCGACGAGTTGGTTGGTCCCAAGTCGTCGTGTAGGACTTGATCAGGACGCGCAGAATACGAAGCCTACTCGTTGAGTCGGAGGACTGAACTCGACGATTTGAGTCTGTTTGATGAAAACCATAATTATTCAGAATGAGTCTTTATCACCCTAAGACAAACCCTAATCGAGTACGTTCCATTTGAGAGTGTTTAGAGCTAATAGTGTGTGTGTTTTGGTGCATTCCTTGAAGAGTAGAAGGCTTGGAACAAGAAGGAGTCTTTGGATTCGGCATCATCTCAGTGGTAGCAGTCATTTGAAGGTAAAAAGTCATTACCTTGATCACTTGTTTGTTAGATCTCTCCATTAGAGAGTTTATGGCCCTTTCTAGCTTCTCCTTGAGTCATTAATGGTTGTGAGCATGTTATGGAGCTGAGACCTCATATATGGACACTACTAGGCCCTTTAGGCCTAAAGCCTCAAGCTTTATGAAGCTTTGACCCGTCTTCATGTCCTAATCCCCTTCTTGAGCTTAGTTTTGGGTGTTTTAGCCTTGTGAGGCCTTGCATGATCGTAAAGTTAGCAAATTTACGTGGTAACTTCATCCTAGGAGGTTGGATCTGGAGTTTGGAGCATTGGAATCGACTGGAATGAGTTTAGCATGTAATGGCTGAAGAACTCGACGAGTTGGGCATCCAACTCGACGAGTTGAGTTGGGTTTTCCCGTTTTTGGATTCAGAGTGAACTCGAAAAGTTGGTGGGACAACTCGATGAGTGGCTAGGGTTTTCCCCGATCTTTTGGACTCTGCATAGACTCGACGAGTTGGCTAGCAACTCGGCGAGTTGAATCGAGTTTTCGTGATTTACTGAGTACTGAGGAAATCGACGAGTTCATGAGTTGCACTCGACGAGTTGGGTTAGCTTTGACTGTTGACTTCCGTTGACTTTAGGGTTTTGGTCAAGTTGTGGATTTTGGAGGCCATGGAGGGGCGGAGTCTAGACCAGCAGTTCGAGTGTGGGATATATTGCTTTACTCTGCAAGGTGAGTCTTCTCACTATACTTACCTGAGTGGTAATATTGTGTGACCGTAGGGTCTTATTGGAGTTATTGATCGGAGGGTCTTATGTTCTTATACTGAGTTATGTGATATCGTGTATTTTGTCTTTGTGACTTATGTTGTATATTATTTTTGTGCCTTATTGAGTTAGGACCGGAGGGTCCAAACCGAGTTGTGAGACCGGAGGGTCTTCACCAAGACATATGATTGGAGGGTCCTTATCGAGATATAGCCATGAGAGGCTAATTATTTGTGCGTGGTAATTTGGGGAACTCACTAAGCTTCGTGCTTACAGTGTTGTGTGAAATGTGTTTCAGGTACCTCTCAGGATCGCGGGAAGGCACCGACATGATTGTACACACCAGCTTGAGATTATGTTTTGAGGATTTTGGGATACTGTCAAACATTTTGTTGTATTGTGTTTTGAACAACTTATACATTTAGGTTTTGAGAAATGTGAGATTGCGTTTTGTGTGGCTTTGAAAATGAAAAATTATTTGAAAAATTAGAGCGTTACAATGGGGGCCCATGGCATTTGGATATCAGACCATGGGGGAGCCCATGGCATTCCAGGTAAAGAGCATGGGGGAGCCCATGACAACTCTATGTATGTTGCATGATATTTCGTGGTTGTATGTTATGTGGTATTTTGGGAAACTCACTAAGCTTTGTGCTTACGGTTTTCAGTTCATGTTTCAAGTACTCCGGTTTTCAAATCGAAGGGCTCGGAATGATTGCAGAGCACACACCACATGTTTCCGTATTTTGTGAATTGCTCCGATTTGTTGATGTTTTGTTAAAACTTAGTTACCCTGGTTTTATGGGAATATATGTATTAACGATTTATTTATCTAAAAACAAAAAATTTATGTCATGATTTTGGGGACGTTACATACAAGAACAAAGTTGATATCATAGCTTGACTAGCAATCACAGCTGCAATGGTGGCAACCACAAAAACCGGCCAAAAAAGTCCATCGGGAATGGAATCGTAAAAGATTCTAGCGGCGAAATCAAGGTGTTTTAAGATATGCAACTTGACCCATGTAAGTTAATAGAAGACATGGAAACACCACAAACGAGAAAATAATATGTATGGATGGAACAGAGAACTGCCCTAAATCGGCAAATGTAACAATTGGTAAAAATAGGTCAAAGTTCGTCGGTCAAACCACCACAAACACTATTGAAAAAGGACCTATTATGTAGTATTCCTTGTTATTGAGTGCAATTGAATTCATTATACTTAAAATTTCATATGGAATACCTTAAATTTTTTCAAAGTTCATAGTCGTTGACAATCGAAAAACAATTCACAAAATAAGTATTAGTTAATGCCATAAAAATAAAATTTCCGCATTAAGTATATTTAGAGCTATAGATAAGTAATTTGAATATATTATGTTCACCTGACTCCTTGTATATAAATAACGTCCAAAAACGGAGATCGTATGAGGAAGTTACGCCCCTTTCAAGTTATAAAAACAATATTTATCTGATTTTCCTGAAACGAAGTTTGAATTGCTTCGTTTGGAATAGCTACGAACTTTGTAATTTGTTTTTTGAGAATGTTTTTGAACTCATACTTTAATCTATTATTTGATTTTATTTTATGACATTTTTAATCCCGAGCAAAATCAAATTCATAAAATTTGTCGGATCATAACGAATTAATCGCGAAACTTTAAACGACATTTTCCAGAGTTTCGTATATCATAATTGAATTTCATTTGCATTTCTAGAATCACCATGACTGAGACAATCAACAGACACTTTCAGAAGAATTTTACGAAGTCGGAATTAATGACATACGAATCGAGGCTTGAGGGGAGTGGAAAACCCATGCATGACATCATGCATGTTACAAGCAAGTACCATGCACAAGTATGTTGTAACAACCCAATTTTTCAAAAGAAATTTTTCATTTTTAAATAGTCATAACACTTTTCTATAAACCATGAAATCTCAATACAATTGTTTTCAAATTCATATCCATAACAATATTATTTCCAAACATCAGAGTGTCCCATAAAACGCCTGAGAGAGTGCACGTCGCGCCATTAAGCCTTGCCCTTGCCCTTGGGCTCAGATGTACCTGAAACAAATCCACAAACTGTAAGCTAATGCTTAGTGAGTCCCCCAGAGCGTACCTCACACACAATCCACATAACACATATCATATTAGCTATAAAGCTACATAAATCACATAAGCCATGCATACAAACATATAAGGAAGCCATGGAAACCCTCCAGGGTATTACACTTAGGGGGTGTTTGGTAGGCAAGAATAAAGGGAGGAATGAAATGGGATATTCAGGGGTAATGAACAAAAACATGTTTGGTACGTATAAGGAAAGGAAAGCCCTATTCTTGAAGCAATCCCATTCCCCCAAAACACGAGATTTTCATTCCATGGGGTACCCCCATTTTTTTTCATTCCATTCCCTCCCTATACTTGTATCTTCCGAAATTGCCCTCTACCAGCCTCTCAAATCGGAAGCGTAGGCACGATATCACTAAAAATCAGCATCACATCTTCAATTGATTGAGGAAAAGATATCGATTTTGCACTTGGATATCATAATCGCCGCGTTTTCCCTCACAAATGCCGACTAATTTCCAACGAAATCATCATAAAATTGTTTTCTGTGAATCATTACGTGATCGACCACCAAAGCTTCAAGACAATTTCAAGTATATTTCATCACAACTCCAAGATTCATCACAGCTCCAAGAATTTCGAGGTTAGTTTTTTTTTTTTAATGTTTGTTGTATTCTCTGTTATTGACATTCATCTGATAAGGTTGTTCACTTGTTTGTGTTCCTGAAATTATTATGTATTCAATTTGCTATTTGTGTTCTTGTTATCTATCTTTTTGAAGCTACTGTTATATATTTTTACATAGCAAAATTGCGGTTATATGTTTGACATGAACATATATACACAAATTAAACAATGATATGATTGCAAGTTTGGATTTTGATTAGGGGAATTAGAATTTGAGCAGGGGCGGATGTTAAAATGAACATCCAATTTTTAAATCCTTTTAGTAGTCTATTTTTAAATCCATTAAGTAGTCCTTTTAAAAGTGCTCATGACTTGGTGTGATAATGCATCTGCAATCACTTTTATGCTCATTTGAAATCCTTTAATGCAACAAGTACCTTCAATGCAGTTTTTGGAATTGAGAGAGATAAAGAAGAGCTACGTAAAAAACTGTATTCTGAGATGAAAAAAGTTGTTGGTTTAACTGTCCGTGACTGTAACAAGGCCGTGCGTATGCTTTCAAAGAATGATGAGTTGATGGTAATCTTCTTTACTGTTGAGGACGAAGACAATTTAGAATGGGTAAAGGACTTGCTTGAAGATGATGCTTGACGTTATTTATATGATTTTTTTATGATATTGCAGTTTTTTTTTTAAGTTATGAACATTACGATCATTTTTTTGTTAATGTTGGTTTGATCTTGATATGTTTTTATGAAAAAGTTTTTTATTATGAATAAAATTTTATATTTCTATAAACCATTTATGTTTATGTAATAGTTTTTGTTATTAGTTATAGAAACTAAAATTTTTGACTAGATAATGTTGAATTTATTGAATTATGTGATCTTTGTGTTGGAAGGGTATTTTTGTCATTGTAAATTATTTTCATTCCATTCCTTTATCTTTTTTGTACATACCAAACAACATGGATGAATGACACATTCCATTCCTTTAGAGTAACCAAACATGACGATGGCATGGTAATGAATCATTTCATTACCTCGTCCATTCCATTACTTAGTTCACTCCATTCCTTTCTTATTCCATTCCACCCAACCAAACACACCATTAGTGCCACTGGAACTCCCACGTGGTCTTAACTACCTGCCATGGGAACCCCCACATGATCTTCCTGCCATGGGAACCCCCTCATGGTCTTCTCTAGCTGCCATGGGAACCCCCACATGGTCTTCACTACCAAGAAAATATCATACAGACTAAACAATCAAATATACTAGGGTGCCATGGAAACCCTCCAAGGTCTTACACCAAATGCCATGGGAACCCCCACGTGGTCTTAGTTTACTGCATACAAACATATAAGGAAGCCATGGAAACCCTCCAGGGTATTACACTTAGGGGGTGTTTGGTAGGCAAGAATAAAGGGAGGAATGAAATGGGATATTCAGGGGTAATGAAAAAAAACATGTTTGGTACGTATAAGGAAAGGAAAGCCCTATTCTTGAAGCAATCCCATTCCCCCAAAACACGGGATTTTCATTCCATGGGGTACCCCCATTTTTTTTCATTCCATTCCCTCCCTATACTTGTATCTTCCGAAATTGCCCTCTACCAGCCTCTCAAATCGGAAGCGTAGGCACGATATCACTAAAAATCAGCATCGCATCTTCAATTGATTGAGGAAAAGATATCGATTTTGCACTTGGATATCATAATCGCCGCGTTTTCCCTCACAAATGCCGACTAATTTCCAACGAAATCATCATAAAATTGTTTTCTGTGAATCATTACGTGATCGACCACCAAAGCTTCAAGACAATTTCAAGTATATTTCATCACAACTCCAAGATTCATCACAGCTCCAAGAATTTCGAGGTTAGTTTTTTTTTTTAATGTTTGTTGTATTCTCTGTTATTGACATTCATCTGATAAGGTTGTTCACTTGTTTGTGTTCCTGAAATTATTATGTATTCAATTTGCCATGGCCATTTCTAGGGCAAAATGGAGTCAAACTCAGATATGGACTTATCACAAGGAAATCGTTCCAGATCTGGACCTCTCTAGGTCCCCAATGACATAAAGTTTCCCACTTTATATAGCTTAGCCCCTTTCCATGCACTAAAACCTTGTAGGAAGCTTAGTTTTGATGTTATAGCCTTGGAGGGCCTTGCATACACGTAATGTTTGCAACTTTACGTGGTATCTGCACTAGGGGAGGTTGGATCTGAAGTTTGGGACCTTAGATCCCACTAAAAAGGATTGAACATGAAAGGGACTGAAGGAACTCGTCGAGTCCCTTAGCTGACTCGACTAGTCGGGGTAGGGTTTGCTTGTTTCTGAGTTTTGGAATGAGTACAGTGAAAGATTAGGGTTTTGGTCTGAACAAACTTTAGTGTTCTGGACATTTCATGAACTCGACGAGTCACTAGGGTGACTCGGCGAGTTGATGCGGGATTCAGAGAAATGGACTCGGGTGGAACCCGACGAGTTGATGGATGCACTCGACGAGTTGAGGTCAACATGGTCTTCCTCCGGTTCCCAAGTCCACTCGGAGCCCCTGCGGTGCTGCCATTGCACCTTCACAAGCTTCACTTCCTTGTTCCGAAGAACCTTGGTCTTCCTATCTAAGACTGCAACATGCCTCTCAATGTAGTTCAGGCTCTCATCCACCTGAATGTCGTCCAGAGAAACGACTGTGGCCTCGTCGGTGACACACTTCCGAAGCCGTGACACATGGAAGGTGTTGTGAATCTGGCTAAGCTCATCCGACAGATCCAAGCGATAAGCCACCTTGCCCACCCGGGCCGTAATCCTGAACGGTCCTATATATCGGGGCCCTAGCTTGCCCCTTTTTCGAAACCTGATGACTCCCTTCCATGACAACACCTTTAGTAGCACAAAGTCCCCCACCTGGAACTCAAGATCCGATCGACGCCGGTCAGCATAACTTTTCTGACAGCTCTGCGCGACCCGCATCCGGTCGCGCACCTGTGGAATCAGCCCGGTAGTCTTGAGCACTACTTCAGTGCTCCCCATAACCCGGTGTCCAACCTCGCCCCAACAAATCGGGATCTTGCATCTCCTATCATACAACATCTCAAATGGGGGTCGATCGATACTGGCATGGTAACTATTGTTGTATGAAAGCTCTGCCAATGGAAGATACGTATCCCAACTCCCTCCAAAATCCAACACACTTGCCCGCAACATATCCTCAAGTGTCTGGATCGTCCTCTTGCTTTGGCCATCTGTCTGGGGGTGGTATGCCGTGCTAAAATGCAACTGAGTGCCCAGTTCCTCGTGGAACTTCTTCTAGAACCTAGATGTAAAACAAACATCTCAGTCATAGACTATTGACACTGGTACCCCGTGTCTAGCCACCACCTCTCGCACATAAATATCCGCTAACTTTTCAGCGGATATACTCTCAGAGATCGGGATAAAGTGGGCACTTTTCGTCAATCTATCCACAATCACCCATATGGCGTCCACACCCCTCGCCGTCCTCGGTAACTTCGTGATGAAGTCCATAGTGATATCCTCCCACTTCCACATGGGAATGGGTAGCGGCTGAACCTTGTCATGAGGCTGCTGATGCTCGGCATTGACCTTCCTGCAGGTCAAGCACCGCTCCACAAAGCAGGCGATCTCCCGCTTCATGCAGGGCCACCAGTAACTCAATCTCAAATCTCTATACATTTTCGTATCCCCTAGTGTATATAGAACCTGGACTTGTGTGCCTCCTACAATATATTCTTTCTCACTCCTCCAGTCACCGGTACCCACACTCGACCATACTGTGTCAGAAGACCTCGGTTATCCTTAACAAACAAAGGATATTGTCCCCGAATCCGCTCTATCTTCCAATTCTCCTTCTTTACTCCTTCGACCTAAACCTCCTTGATCATATCCAACAATGGAGAGATCACCGTCATCCTCAAACAAACGTTCCCAATCGGGGAAACTTCCGCCTTACGGCTCAAAGCATCGGCCACCACGTTGGCCTTCCCTGGATGGTACACGATCTCACAGTCACAATCTTTCAGCACATCCAACCACCTCCTCTGCAGCATGTTGTGGTTCTGCTGATCCATCAAACACTTCAAACTCTTGTGATCAGTATAAATAGTGCACCTTTACCCATACAGATAGTGCCTCCAAATCTTGAGGGCAAACACCACTGCCCCCAATTCCAGGTCGTGAGTGGGGTAATTCGCCTCATGAGGCTTCAACTGCCTCGAGGCGTAAGCTATCACATACCCCCTCTGCATCAGTACCGCGCCTAACCCTGAGATCGATGCGTCACAGTACACCACCAAATCATCTAACCCCTCAGGTAGCACTAAAATCGGAGACTCGCATAACCTCCGTCTCAGGGTCTCAAAAGCCAACTACTAATATGTGCCGCATCGAAATGTCACATTCTTCTTGGTCAAGCGGGTTAAAGGCACATCAATCTTGGAGAAATCCTGGATGAATCTCCGATAATAGCCCGCTAGACCCAAGAAGCTACGGATCTCGCAAGCGTTCTTCGGCACTTCCCACCGCATCACTGCCTCAACCTTGGTTGGATCAACCGAAATGCCCTTCTGGTTGATGATGTGCCACAAAAACTGTACCTCTCGCAGCCAGAAATCACACTTTGAGAACTTGGCATACAACCTCTCCGCCCTCAGGGTCTCCAATACCTCTCTCAGATGCTGCTCATGCTGCTCCTTGGTCATAGAATAGACCAGGATATCATCAATAAAAATGATCACCGACCGATCCAACATCGGTCTACACACCCTGTTCATGAGATCCATGAACATTGATGGGGCATTGGTGAGCCCGAATGGCATCACCACGAACTCATAGTGACCATACCGAGTACTGAAAGCTGTCTTCGGTATATCCTCATCCCGGATCCTCATCTGGTGGTATCCTGACCGTAGATCAATCTTGGAAAACCAAGACACGCCCTGCAGCTGATCGAACAAATCATCGATCCTCGATAATGGATAACGGTTCTTCACCGTTAGTTTGTTCAGCTCTCGATAATCAATACACATCCTGTGTGACCTATCATTCTTTTTCACAAACAGGATCAGAGCTCCCCATGGGGAACTTCTCGGTCGGATAAACCCTCGATCTAGCAGCTCCTGAAGCTGCGTAGATAACTCCTGCATCTCGGGCGGTGCTATCTGGTATGGTGCCTTCGCTATCGGTGCGGCACCCGACAATAAATCAATGCGAAACTCCACCTGCCTCGCCGGAGGCACCTCTGGTAATTCTTCGGGAAAGACGTCCCGAAACTCCTGTATAACCGGCACACTGCCCACATCCGTCGTGGTCTCGACCCTCGTATCCGAGATATAAGCCAAAAATCCCGTACATCCCTACTGCAAAAATCTCCTAGTCCTCGCAGCTGAACAAAAGGTTGGCCCCTGCGAGGCCCTCTCACCATGAATAACTAGTTCTCCCCCACTTGGGGTTCGAACCCTCACCAACTGGCGCTCACAATCGAACATGGCCTCATTGGCCCCCAGCCAGTCCATCTCGACAATCACCTTCAGCCCTTGCAACGGTATCAAGACTAGATCAACACGAAACCTTTCTCCAAGCACATTCAGGACACAATCTCGATACACCCTCGCAGCACTCACAAT